GGCTCGGACCCGTCCCTCTCTCCTCAGTCTCAGTCCTCTGGGATTCCCGGCTCTCGGGCTCGGACCCGTCCCTCTCTCCTCAGTCTCAATCCTCTGGGATTCACGGCTCTCTGCTGCCGCGTCCGCGAGCGAGATTGAGGACACGCGGGATTAGCGCAGTTTAAATCCTCTGCCCTCCCCCCGGACCCCCGCTATGAGCGCGCGAGGGCGGAACCTCGCACCGCCCCCCCCCCAGCACGGGACGGAATTCGGTTTCGGGGGGGCAGGGGGGTGACATTCCTGCCTCTCGTCATAAATCGTTAGGAAGGACGTGATACGCGCGGCGGCAGCTGAGACAGGATCCGCAGTTTGCTGGGTGAGAGTGGGAGTGGGTATCACGCGCGAGTGTCACAGCCCCGCCATGGAAACACCCCAGGCGAACGCGAGAGAAGAGGTTTCAGGTCTTCTGACAGGCGTACAGTCCCCTATATACAGTACAGTACACACTACAGTCCCCAATATACAATATAACACCATATACCACAGTCCCTACATACAGTACAGTATAACACCTCAGTCCCCTCCCTAAAGTCCAGTCCAGAACAGTCCAGCAGACGTCAGGACAAGAAGCTGCAGTCTGTGACACTCTCAGCACCCTGTCAACTACTGGACCCCAGAACCGCCACACACAGCAGCCCGCAGGGCAGCACAAGAACCCGCCCAGCCCGGCCCCTCAGCCCGCCGCAGACAGGCCTGTGCGTGGAAGAAGCAGGTAGTACCTGGGCACCGTGCTGGGCTCCATGGGCAGCAGGAGCAGGCTCCTCCCACACACTCCATCACCACGGCAACCCTGAGGTTCTGTTGCCGCGGTTACTGTGCTTAAAGGAGCTGTGAGGGGTGAGGGTGCTAACCCCACAGCACTGGTCCACACAGGAGATACCAATACCCCAGCACCAAGCCTCGGCACCAAGAGCACAGACCAGTACCCCGGACCTTAAACACACCCGGGCGCACAAGCCAGCATTGGAATCGGTTTCGCAGCCCCAGCCGGATGTGATGGTTTGCTGCCCTCTGGCGGTACCGTGACGGCACTGCCGCGCACTCCCGAGCAGCCGAGCAGCCGCACCTGTGACGGCGACCCCCGGGCACAGCGAGACGCGCACACGCGTGGATGGCACACGGAGAGACTGTCTCTCGCGTCGCTACCAAGGCTCCCGGGAGCTAAAGGCCTGCCCTCGACTGCGGGAGCGCAGTTATGTCACCGCGGTGCGGCGAGCAGGGCGCTCAGACTCAGGTCCTGGGTTAGCCAGGCGCTGTGTGAATCAGACGGACCGACACAGAGCCAGAGCACCCGGATCAGGGACGCAGGAGGGCCGTCTAGCCCGGCTGATTGAGCCCAGGGTCGGGTCCTGGCGCTATGGGCAAGAAATCGGGGGATCGGCTCGGCAGCCTGTTCCACACTCCCACAACCCTTTGTGCAAGGACGCGGCTCTTGCACTCTGTTCTAAATGCACTTCCCGGTAGTTTCCACGAATGTCCTGTGGTCGGTCTTGGTTCTGAAGAAGCCCAGTTGGATTTTGGATGCTCGTGTCCGCCGGCAGGTCGGTGAGAAGCCGGGAGGGGGCGCTCGCTTTCAGACAGCGTTAGGCGAGAGAAAAGAGCGAGATGGATCGCTTGAGCTGCTGTGGATCGAGGCCACGGAGAAATAAAAACTCGCTACTGCTGCTGCAACGCGGCCCCACGCACGCACAGCCCGCGCGTGTGCGGGCAGCAGGGCCCCGCGAGTCCCAGGCCGCGCAGGCAGCGGCTCTCTCGTCTCCCCGCCGCCGGGCGAGAGCAGCGTTTCCTCCCGCCGCAGCGACAGCAGGCAGCGCCGGGCAGCTGCTGTCTCCCTGCCGCCGGTGCCCGGAGCGGCGTGACGACGGGCTGTGCGCGGTCTTACCTGGCGGAACGGGCGTCACCGGCGCGCCCGGACTGGGATCGTCTCGGCTGCGGCCGGAGCTGCTTTGCCGGCGCCGACAGAGATGGGAAACGGGGCGGAGGGGCGGTTACTGCCCGAGCGCTCTGGCGGGGCAGCGGGTGGGAGGGGCCGGGGGCTCGGCCTGGTCCTGCCCGGAGAGGAGTCGCTCTGTCCGGCTGCATGTGGCGCAGCTCCCCCGGGGAAGGGGAGGGAGGTGGACCGGGCTTGGACCGGGAGTGTATTCGCCCCCGGAGCCGGGGGAAGAGGGAGGGGTGCCCGGGACCGGCCAGCTTGGACATTCATGGGACATTCCTGCCGGTGACCCCTCGCTGCCCCTTCCTCCTGCATGGCCCCGCGAGACCCCAGGGACGCCTCGCGCTCGGTAGCACTGGGCTCGTGTCTGTAATCGCCATGGCAACTGCGAGCCGCCGGGACCGGTGAGCGGGGTCCGAGCCTAACCTCTTGCGGAGGACCTGCTCTCTGTGCACCGGCGTGTCTCTGTGCACACAGCGCTCTGCAGGGAGCGGGAGGAGAGCGCGAAGGTTTTGGAGCCGCACCGTTATCTAAAAGGTGTGCAGGTCGCCGGTGTGTCTCTACCCGAGCACATGCGCGCACACGTATGTGATGAGCACAGCGGGGAACCCCGTGAAACACCCCGACACCCCAGGAGCTGTACTCACCCCCACAGCCCCGGCCTGTGTCCCGCTCTCTGCCCCGACTGGCCTGAGTCCCTGCCGCTCTGAGGTAACCACCGCCGGGGCAACAGCGCCCAGACCCCTCCCCCTGCCCCGGGCCGCACACAATGACAGGCGTGTTACACAAACACGCACTCCGGCAACGCGCTCGCCCCGCTCTGGAAGCGGCCGGCTGTTGCCATGGCGATCTAGCACCTCCGCGCCGGCAGCACTCTCACCTGCGGACAGGTGTGCGGGAGGCTCTGACAGTAAGGTCAAAGCTGAAATTAGGGGGCGAGACCAATCTCTGCCAGATCAGGCAGATTGTCAAGAACCAGATTGTCAAGTGCGGGGAATGACAAGAGAGACAATCAGATTGAGGGTCGTCAGTTTCCCGGGACACACAGAGACGCTGGTGCATCGTGTGTGAATGCAGCAGGTAGAGTTACAGACGCGGGATACGGGTAGTCTTGCTCACCGACTGAGGGAACACAGCCCTGCAGCCGCTGTTTCTAGCCCAAGTATATCGCGTTTTTGCCCTTTCAGCCACCAATGCTTGTGTCTTAGACCACAATACTGAAAAAACACAGGTTTCTTTGTGTGCAGCACCCCGAACCAGACTCCTGAAGCCCCGAGCGCAGGTCACCGCAGGAGAAGCTGGGATTCAGGGATTCAGGGATTCAGGCGAGTCGCCAGGAAACAGGAGCGGGCCGGGCCGCGCGGAGCTGCTGTCCCGCCTCACACACGTCATCAACTAGTGACCCGAAACACCAATCAGCGTCTGCGGTGAATCAGTGACCCCGCCCCAAGCGACGAGCGGCCGATGATGATGAAAATTATTAATTAGGATTAGCGGTAACTATTATGTTATGGATAATATTATTAATAATAAAATTATGATTATGATTATTCTTCAAAGCATTTCACAGGTAATGGGGATCTCCTCCAGCACCACCAGTACGCTCCCCACACACCAGTGAAGACAGACACAAACTTGACAGGTAAAACAAAATCTTTATTTACAAAGAACAGTTTTACATTCAAACGGCTGGTTTGTAACGACAGAAGGCACTTAGAGAGGCTCCTCTCCCGCCCCCCACAGGCCCAGAGAGGACGCCTCTGCAGGGCAGGGCGGTGCAGAATAAGGACACTTTACAAAGACAGAAAAACATCCAACACCTCACTGACAGCCCCTGGATCTGCGGGACTGTTCGGAAAGCGGATCACTGGGATTCTGGGACAGGCTGCACTTATAAAGGAGTAGGAGACAGATCCTTCCTCTTGGGGTGTTGACCCCAGTATTAAAGATGGACACGTTCTCCTTACCGAGGAAGTGTGCAGCGTGTGGTCAGTTGCAGGGCCCAGCGCGGTCACTGCTGGTCCTCCCCACTCCCCAATTTTTCATGCATTACAAAAGTAAAAAAAGATTATCTGCACTGTCTGAATTCACACACACACTCCAATGAGAAAAATATGTATAAATGTAACAAAATATCATAAACTAGCTCTTCCTTGCAAAATGACAATAACAAAAAAAAAATCAAGACATATTCTGTGCAGATCAGCAGAGCCTGGCAGTGTGGAGAACCCGGAGCAGACCAGCCAGCTGCGGACCGGAGTCTCACTGACACGCAGTCACAGCAGCAGCTCCGCAGAAAGGACACATCCAGTGACACCAGGCACATCCAGTCCTGTCCAGTACAGGGCACCAGTCCTATCGATACTGTAACCCGTCCATCATTAAGTAACTGAATTTTAATTTCTTAATTGATCCCCATTTACACAATCAATGCTTGTTTGCCTATTACGTAACCGAAAGGGCTCCTATTTCCTCAATTGACCTCAGCATCATCCCATCCCAGAATCCCCCTCTTCCTCTAAGGTAGAGCAGATCCACAGGGGGCAGATACAGACAGGGGGCAGATAGACATGGGGGCAGATACACACATATCCAGTACACACAGAGCAGCACGTTGCTGTTTCCCTGCTGCTCCAGGGCTGTGCCTGTGCCTGGCAGGCGCCTCCTGGCCTGACGGAGGAGCAGCTGTCTGTGTGACGCGTCTGGCCCTCAGAACTTGGCTGAAGCTGGGTCCCGCAGAGACGAGGTCTGTCGCCACTCCGGCCCCCGTGGAATGTGAAGGGGGGGGGGGGCAGGAGAACAGGCAGTAAAAACAGCCACGGAGAAAGAGGGCAGAAACACACAGAGCTGGTCGGCAGTTAAAGAGCCCTGGAGCTCCGCAGCGCTGGGCCTGGGCAGGACAGGGCGGGAGACCTCGAAGGAAAGCCAGGATGTTGCTGTGATAGCCATAGCTGGACCAGTAGGGGGCGCTCTTCCCTCTGGACCATACCGATGCCCCAGTGCGGTGACCCGGGACACTACACTGTAGGAGGCGCTACAGCTGACGTCCTGACTACCTGGTCATTAAGGATCCCATGACCGTTCCTACAGTAGGGTTTTATCCCCAGAGTCCTGGTCAAATTCCTGTCCAGGCTGGTTTTCCTAGAGTTCTCTGTTCATTCAGCTGGTGCGGCAGTTTCTCTCTGCACTGCAGTGGGGATGAAGTGGGTCTCCTTCCACAAGTAAAGCACTTTGAGATTCTTTGGGATGCAAGGCACTATATAAACACAGGAATTATTACCATTACTAAAAGCCATCACTGGGTACATGAACGCCAGGTGGGCTGGACAGGTGAGCGCTTGTCCTCTGCTACGGCCCCAACCTGAGGATCTTGGGTCCTCTCGATTCACAGGCTCTTCCTGGTTCAGCCCACTGGGGGGGCAGCACGAGGGCCAGAGTGTCGACTGCCCCCCTCCCTCCTTATCCTCTGGGAATGTAGGCTTGAGAGGAGGAGAAAGAGGGAGGTGACAGGAGGAAGGCAAGGAGATGGAGAGATGGGTGAGGAGGGAGGGGCGTTAGAACTGCACCCATCCTGGGCCGAAAGAGTCCTGACTGGAGCCGGAGCTACAGAGAGACACACACAGAGGGCAGTTAACTGGCTGAAGCAGCACTGGGAGTATAAACAGCAGTGGCTCTGAGCCCGCGAGAGTGGGGGTCTTTATTAGTGGTACTGATGAGAGCAGCGACACCCCCGGCCTCTCCCAGCCTGCACCACACCCTGCATGCCTGGTACCCCAGGTCACTCACCCGCCACTGACACACACACCCTGCAGAGCTCACTACTGCACACACACACACCCTGCAGAGCTCACAACTGCACACACACGCCCCAGGGCTCACAGTTCCATGCATCTTGCATCACAGGGCTCCCTTACAGTTCCAAGTGTCTCCCCAACACTGAACATCATCTCTCAGCTCACCTGGGGGCTGCGGTGAAGTCACCCCAGAGGTCACCTGATGTCCCGCCGCTGGGCTGCACTGTGGGGGGCCCCAGGTCAAAATCTAACAGTGGGGTTGAATAAAGAAAAAGAGCAATAAAAAAACTGGTCTGTCATCTGTCAGTCTGGAGCTACAATCCCAGTACAGTAGGACAGTCCTGTTCCAATAGGAGCTACAGTCCCAGTACAGTAGACCAGTCCTGTTACAATAAGAGCTACAGTCCCAGTACAGTAGACCAGTCCTGTTCCAATAGGAGCTACAGTCCCAGTACAGTAGACCAGTCCTGTTCCAATAGGAGCTACAGTCCCAGTACAGTAGGAGAGTCTCAGGCACTACAGGGTGCTGTGCAGGGAGGTACCTGTGCTGGGGGGCTGTACTGCCTCTGCTCCTGGAGTGGGGTGGGACCCAGCCCCCTTCACCCCTGGGGGTGGGGGCAGCAGCCCGCTGCCAGCTGGGCGAGACCTGGCCGCGGCAGGAGCCCCATCCTTCTCCTTCCTCTTCATGTTCTGGAGAAGCACAGCGTCAGACATAGGCCGAGACACACCTGAGATTAAACCCAACTCGGCACTGCTCTCCTGCGCCCCACTCCGCTCTCCTGCGCCCCACTCCGCTCTCCTGCGCCCCACTCTGCTCTCCTGCGCCCCGCTTCCCCCGCTCCGCTCTCACCCCGATGTTGATCTTGATGGTCTGCCCCTCCTTGAAGCCCAGGTCCAGCTTGGGCACAGAGCTCTGACTGGCTTCCTCCCGGGCCAGTTCCCCCTCCTTCCGCACCCACCTTCAGAGAGAGAGGGAGAGAGGGAGGGAGAGAGAGAGGGTGTGGGAGGGAGAGAGAGGGAGAGGGAGGGAGGGAGAGGGGGAGAGAGAGAGGGAGGGGGAGAGAGCGAGAGAGGGAAAGAGGGGAAGAAAACAAATTAAAATTTGACATGTGAATTTGAGAGGGTGGGTAAGAAAGCACTCCAGCTGCACTCTTGTACGCACTGCCCCCAAGTGGACACAGCGAGTGGGCAGAGGGCAGTAGCTATGTCCAGTGATTCGATGGCTTGGATTAAAATAAACTTTTTGAGGGGTTTTTATGACCTGTTGCTGCAGGGATTCTGCTGCTGGGCTCAGCCCCAGTCCAGACAGAGACTGGGCTCTGAAGTGGCTGGAGCTGCAGGAGTGAGGGAGACCAGTGTGTTTCATCACCACAGCTCCGGCAGCAAGCACTGCTGCTGCACAGCGACTCACTGCAGCCTCTTCATCCACACTCAATGAACACCTGTGAGGAGCTCATTTTTCCAGCAGGTTCCTTTTCTCTGTCTGCTTTCATTAAGCAGGGCCACTTTACCGTGAAGATGCAGTCAGGTCTGTCAGTTTTCTCCCTGTCAGTTCTGCATACAGATGACTTGTTAACTGGGGGCGCAGTCTGGCACCCTGTCTGGCAGGCCCTGACCCCACGGGGGGACACACTCACTTGAAGTGGTCCTGCAGAGCCACATTGAAGTCGAAGGAGTCGCCACGATCCGCAAACCCGATCCCAATGAACGCGTGGCGCCCTGGGAGGCAGGAGAACGACAGCGAAGGTCATTAAACCACAGAGGGAGGAGCCACAGACTAGCTGACAGGTAACCACGACAGCGCCTCACCACTGCCATCCTCAATCCGCACCACAAAATAGCGGCTGGAGTCGGCGACGCCCTCCACTGCGATGCCGGGGTACTGCTCCACTGGCGCCTGGGCAAACAGCTCCCCTGGGGCACAGAGGGCACAG